CAGCCTTGATAGTAGGTGATGAGTTCCACAGGTTGCCTGTAGTAGGTGGTGAGTTCCTCAGCCTTGATAGAACGTGATGAGTTCCTCAGCCTTGATAGTAGGTGGTGAGTTCCTCAGCCTTGATAGTAGGTGGTGAGTTCCTCAGCCTTGATAGTAGTGATGAGTTCCTCAGCCTTGATAGGTGGTGAGTTCCTCGACCTTGATAGTAGGTGATGAGTTCCTCAGCCTTGATAGTAGGTGATGAGTTCCTCAGCCTTGATAGTAGGTGATGAGTTCCTCAGCCTTGATAGTAGGTGATGAGTTCCTCAGCCTTGATAGTAGGTGATGAGTTCCTCAGCCTTGATATAGGTGATGAGTTCCTCAGCCTTGATAGTAGGTGATGGGTTCCTCAGCCTTGATAGTAGGTGGTGAGTTCCTCAGCCTTGATAGTAGGTGATGAGATCCTCAGCCTTGATAGTAGGTGATGGGTTCCTCAGCCTTGATAGTAGTGATGAGTTCCCTCAGCTGATAGTAGGTGAGTGAGTTCCTCTGCCTTGTAGTAAGGTGATGAATTCCTCAGCCTTGATAGTAGGTGATGGTTCCTCAGCCTTATAGTAGGTGATGAGTTCCTCACCTTGTAGTAGGTGGTGAGTTCCTCAGCCTTGATGAAGGTGATGAGTTCCTCACCTTGAAAAGTAGGGGGTTAAAATTCTTAGCAAATAGTAGTGAGATCACAGCTGATAGATGCAGTTCTCAGACTCGAGTTACCATTCCTCAGCCTTGTTAGTACGGGGTGAGTTGCTCTTGAGGTGGAGGGGGTGAGTTTGTCAATGCCATAATCGTGGACAGTTGACCTTGATTTGTTGATGTAGTTTCCTTAGCCTTGTGTTGTGTGTGTGTGTTCTCGTGTTGTGTTGATGGTGGTGAGTTTAACATATAAAAGGTGGTTTCAGCCTGGCGTGTAGATGATGAAATCCTCAACCCTGGTCTGTTTATCTAGGCCACCTTAAAGTAGGTGATGAAATTCTTGTAGCTTGAAAGTTTGGTTTTTAGTTTCAGCCTGATATTAGTGATGGCTTTCACCTTATATTACCAGGATGAATATCCAAGTTTTCACCAGGGTCATTAATATATGTTGTGACACTCTGCATTCAAGAATAATAGCAAGTCTAGCCTTGATACACAGGGTCTTACCTTGAAGTAGTGAGGGTTCCCCAGTCAGAAAATATGATGTTCCTACCCCCAAGTCAGTAATGTTCCTCAGTTTTGACACTACCGTGAGAAATACCAAGTTACTACTACACAGGTCTTAAGTTCCATGATAAGTGGTATTCCCAGCCAGAATAATATGGTCTACTTTCTCACCTTGGTAGTAAGGCTTGAGTCACCTGCCCTATGTAAGTGAGTTCCTAGCCTTCTTAAAGGTGTGAGTTGCATTCACTGTAAGCTCAGAGATATTTCCAATCTACCTACTACACCAGGGTCATGAGTTTCACCTCACCATCAAGAATATGAAGTTCTCAGCCTTATACACGGGGTAGTCCACCTTTAAGGTGAGGGTTCCCAGTTGATAAAGTCAGAGAATTACCAGTCTTACTAGGGAGGGTCATCAGCTGTTGTACCTGACACCTCAGCCTTATGGATAGTTCCTCAGCCTTGATACAGGGTGGTGATTTCCCCCGTCGACCATCACAAGATAATACCAAGTTCCTCACCCTTGGGAGTTGAGGGTTCCTCACCTGACAACGTGAGAATTCCACAGCCTTAGGGTGATAGTTCCTCAGTTCAGTGTTACCAGATGTCAGCCTGATGTTTATGACTTACCCAGCTTGAAGTTCCTGTACCTTTACCACAGTCAATTAATAAAGTCTACCTCATCCGGGTGGTAGTTGCTGACCTGTAGTACGGGACCTCAACATTGATACCAAGTACTTCTACACCAGGGCCTTTAGATGGTAACTGTCCCCAGCTGAAAAAACAGTCTGAGTTCTCACCTTGCATTAACGTGCAGGGTCACCTACCTATAGTAAGATAAAGTTCCTCAGCCTGAGTATTAATGGTTCCATGTCACCTCACCCACCAAAGGTGATTCTCGACCTTATACAGGTGTTGAGTTCCATCACCTGCACAAGGTCATGATTCCATCCTAGAAGGTGATATTCCTGGCTTGTAAGTAGCGTGGTGTCACCTTTCACCTAGATAGAAGGTAATTCCTCAGCCTTATAGAAGGTGATTAAGTCTCTGCATGTGAAGGGGTGATGAGTCCTCAAGACTTGATAGAAAGTGTGAGTCCTCCCCTATACGTAGGGTTAAGTTCCTCACCGATAGTAGATTTCCAATTTGAATAGTGAAGATGTTCCTCACCTGGATATTAATGTTCCAGTTCCTCACCTTGTAAGAATGAACCAAGTTCTACCTTAAAATAAGACCAGGGTCATTAATCATTTACTGATAAACATACATATCAGTGGATGACACAGTAGAGCACACACCAGGGTCATTAACCACTCGGTTACACCACCTCAACTTAATACTTTTAATTACTGTGAACGTGCCGGGTGTCATTAGGCTGAGGTCACCGTACTACGTCAAGAAATACCAGACTTACTTTTTTTTTTTTGTTTTGTGTGTCGGTGGAGAATAAAAGTGTTTGTGGGGTTAATATTTAATTACATTAAGAACTAGACTGTAATGAATCAAAGCCCTCATAACACCTGGGTCTTTAAGCTGTCACTGCATTACAAAGTCAAGAATAATACAAATGTGACCTTGTAGGTATAATGTGTTTGTCCTTAACCACCATTCACAAAGTAATTAATGTACCTGTCACCGGCCACAGTCAAATAATCCACCTACACCATCCAGGTCATTAATAATACCAAGTCACCTGTACACCAGGTCAAGTTAATACCAACTTACCTACTACACCAGGGTCATTAATGTTGCATGTCACCTGTACACCACCAGTCAAGAATAATACCAAGTCTACCTACTACACCAGGGTCATTAAGGCTGCATGTCACCTGTACACCACCAGTCAAGAATAATACCAAGTCTACCTTCTACACCAGGGTCATTAATGTTCCATGTCACCTGTACACCACCAGTCAAGAATAATACCAAGTCTACCTTCTACACCAGGGTCATTAATGTTCCATGTCACCTGTACACCATCAGTCAAGAATAATACCAAGTCTACCTACTACACCAGGGTCATTAATGTTCCATGTCACCTGTACACCATCAGTCAAGAATAATACCAAGTCTACCTTCTACACAGCATAAGCCATGTCACCTAGTACCCATCAGTCAAGATAAAATAATCCAGTCTACTTCTACCCAGGGTCATTAAGGTCATGTCACCTGTACACCACCAGTCAAGAATAATACCAAGTCTACCTACTACACCAGGGTCATTAAGGTTGCATGTCACCTGTACACCACCAGTCAAGAATAATACCAACTCTACCTACTACACCAGGGTCATTAAGGCTGCATGTCACCTGTACACCACCAGTCAAGAATAATACCAACTCTACCTACTACACCAGGGTCATTAAGGCTGCATACCATAGACAGGATCGGAGAGTAGTAACACACAACTCATCAAAAGTATATTAGAGATATCTACTCTGAAACATGCAGACTACAAATGGACAACATTTCGCCCGTGTAACAGGTCTGGAGTTTTGAGACTGACCGCGGGTTCAAATCCCGCCCGTGGTATGGTTTGGTAGTGTTACGAAGGTGAAACGTTCTTAAAATATCATTTCCAGATCTTGGAGTTTGTATACACAACTTGTTAGAATTGCTGTATCGCCATACACAGTGCATGTGTATATATGTGATGGTATACAACACTGACAAGATGATAAGTCATATATGCACAGTTGGGTATCTTCATTCCCTAGTAAAGTTGCCTAATTGTTGTAGATGTGTCATAGTTATTAAAGTGTGTGTAGCAAGTGTGTGACGCACACAGGAGATCATGGAGTATGTCTTGTTTGTTACAAAGTTTGGCGCATCTGAAGTCTGTATCTATACTGTTGTGTGTGTTTGTTATGTTGTGGGAACACCAGCAGTGTTGTTACACTATTCTGTGTGATAGTTACATTGTGGGAACACCAGCAGTGTTGACTACACTATTCTGATGGTAGTTACATTGTGGGAACACCAGCAGTGTTGTTACACTATTCTGTGTGATAGTTACATTGTGGGAACACCAGCAGTGTTGTTACACTATTCTGTGTGATAGTTACATTGTGGGAACACCAGCAGTGTTGCCACACTATTCTATATGAATTAGATTACATTGTGGGAACACCAGCAGTGTTGCCACACTATTCTGTGTGATAGTTACATTGTGGGAAACACCCGCAGTGGTTGCCACACTATTCTATGTGATAGTTACATTGTGGGAACACCAGCAGTGTTCCTACACTATTCTGTGTAAGTTACATTGTGGAACACCAGCAGTGTTGCTACACTATTCTATTGATAGTTACATTGTGGGAACACCAGCAGTGTTGCTGCACTATTCTGTGTGATAGTTACATTGTGGGAACACCAGCAGTGTTGCTGCACTATTCTGTGTGATAGTTACATTGTGGGAACACCAGCAGTGTTGGCTGCACTATTCTGTGTGATAGTTACATTGTGGGAACACCAGCAGTGTTGTATTCACATATTCTGTTAATTGTGGATACATTGTGGGAACACCAGCAGTGTTGCCACATATTCTATATAATAGTTACATTGTGGGAACACCAGCAGTGTTTGCTACACTATTCTATGTGATAGTTACATTGTGGGAACACCAGCAGTGTTGCTACACTATTCTATATGATAGTTACATTGTGGGAACACCAGCAGTGTTGCCACACTATTCTATATGATAGTTACATTGTGGGGAAAACCAGCAGTGTTGCTACACTATTCTATGTGATAGTTACATTGTGGGAACACCAGCAGTGTTGCTCACACTATTCTATATGATAGTTACATTGTGGGAACACCAGCAGTGGGTTTCCACACTATTCTATGTGATAGTTACATTGTGGGAACACCAGCAGTGTTGCTACACTATTCTATATGATAGTTACATTGTGGGAACCAGCAGTGTTGCTACACTATTCTATATGATAGTTACATTGTGGGAACACCAGCAGTGTTGCTACACTATTCTGTATGATAGTTACATTGTGGGAACACCAGCAGTGTTGCTACACTATTCTGTATGATAGTTACATTGTGGGAACACCACAGTGTTCTACACTATTTTTATGTGATAGTTACATTGTGGGAACACCAGCAGTGTTGCTACACTATTCTATTGATAGTTACATTGTGGGAACACCAGCAGTGTTGCTACACTATTATATATGATAGTTACATTGTGGGAACACCAGCAGTGTTGCTATTTCCATATGAACTAGCGGGCCCACCTGTTGCTGCATAAATTTTATTATTGTGTTAAACTGTGGTAGATGCATGCGCATACCTACTTTTGTGATAGTTCATTGTGAGTTGTTTAATAGTTTTGTGTGATATGTTTGTGGTATAAGATGGTAATATTCTGTGGTGATTTACTTGTTACAAGAATCGTGTGCTCCTTTTTTGGGATAGGACAGTGGGCACCCACGAGTTGCCGTACACTTCTTTTTTAAAGTCTGTGAAACACCCATTGAACTAATTTTGTATGGTTAAGTAACACCACTGAACAAAAAAAGGGGAAAAGAGGATCACACATCAGACTGTTGGATAGTTTTTGGCACCCTTTACAATCTTTATGTCCATGTAACAAGCATGTTGCCCAACAATTTCTCAGTGCATAGTTACAGGGAATAAGCTCTGCTACACTATTCTGTGATATTGCAACTCAACAACCAACCTTTCTCTATTCTGTATGATATACATTGGAACACTGCATGTTGTACACTATCCTGGTTTTACGTGGAATAACCAACTAGTGACTGTTACCACTCATTTAAGTTACCCCTTGTGCAAACCAGTCGTTTGCTACACCCTGTGATAACATTTTAAACATGTTGCTCACTATCTTTGAATTCCCTTTAAACAGCGTGTTCTCACTATAATGAGAGTTATTTGGAAACCTTGTTAATAACCCTTTGCTTAATAATTATTTACTTTTTACATTCTGATCACTCCCCCTCTTTTGTTTTAATCATTGTGAATTGTAATTTAAGGTCTTAATGTTTCTTATAAGGAGATTTCAATGATGGTGGTTTTTGTTACAGGGTAACGGGGTGGGGAAATGGCCTTTCTCTAAAGAATTGCGTACCCCTTCTGTTTAAGGCAGACCAAATTGAAAGGTTAGCTAATCTGGTTAAGTCCTTACATAAGAAAGGGAAACAAGTTGCAGTATGACCTGTTGGACTTTTTGGGGGTACCTTTTGAATAATCCCACTAATCAAATTTTCCTTAACATGCTTAGGCACCCAGAATGCTTGATTTAACTCATTTGCAACTCCCAAACAATCCAAGTCCTTTTCGCATTCTGTACACCTAAGTTCTACCCCTTATATAACTCACTAGGTGGTTAGGTTAATACCATTTTCCAGACCAATGCTTTACATCCTTCTACATTAAACTTTTCATTTGCCATTTCTGACTGCTGGAATTTTGACTTGTTAAATCCCCATTATAAGTTTTACACATCAACTCGAAGATATCCCCTATCTTCGTGTCTAACAAATGAAATTTGCTTAAATTCACATAGTAAATTCCCTATGTATGTCGTTTATATTTATAATTAACACGAATGTTCTAAAATTTATGTCCCTGTGGAGACAGATTGAGCTGATAATCAGGTGAGGCCTTACTAATGATGTATAAAGTTGCAGTATGACCTCTGGACTTCTGTTGCTTACACTTCTTGATATAAATCCCAGTAATCTAATTGCCTTATTACGTATGCTTAGGCATTGCTGTCTTGATTTAAGGTTGCTGCTCACCATAACCTCCAAGTCCTTCTCGCATTCTGTACGGCTAAGTTCTACATTATTAAGCTGGTAGGTGGTAGGGTTATGGACATTTCCGGACCTTAGAACTTTACATTTATCTACATTGAACTGCATCTGCCACTTTTCTGACCACGAATTGAGTTTGTCTAAATCCTCCTGAAGTTGTGAGACATCAACGTCTGAATCGATTATCCTACCTATCTTCGTGTCATCAGCAAATTTGCTTATGTCACTAGTAATTCCCTCGTCCAGGTCGTTTATATTTATAATAAACAACAATGGACCTAAAACTGGTCCCTGTGGAACGCCACTTGTTACAGATCCCCACTCAGATTTAACCCCATTTATGGACACACTGCTTCCTATTAGTGAGCCATGACTCGATCCATGACAGCATTTTCCCCCAATGCCATGAGCAGCCACTTTCTTCAAAAGTCTCTGATGTGGTGCTCTATCAATAGCCTTACTAAAATCTAAATAAACAATATCGAATTCTTTATCCTGATCAACGGCCTCAAAAACTTTGCTGAAGAAGGTTAATAAATTAGTTAGGCAGGAACGGTCCTGGTGAAACCATGTTCAGTATCATTAATCAAATTATGCCTATCCAGATGGCTTCTTATATTATCAGCTATAATTGACTCTAGTAATTTGCCTACAATTGAGGTCAGGCTTATTGGGCGGTAATTTGACGGTAACGACTTGTCCCCTGTTTTAAAAATAGGAATTACATTAGCCATCTTCCACATATCAGACACTACACCTGTTTGAAGAGATAAATTAAAAATATTAGTTAATGGTTCACAGAGTTCCATTTTACATTCTTTAAGAACCCTTGAAAAAAGTTCATCAGGGCCCGGGGATTTATTTTGCTTTAACCGGTCTATTTGTTAGATAACCATTTCGCTGGTGACTGTGATATTGCATAATTTATCATCTTCTGGCCCACTATAAAAATTAATTACCAGGATATTGTCAATGTCTTCCTGAGTGAAAACCGAGAGAAAATAATTATTAAGAATCGAGCACATTTCATTCTCTTTGTCAGTAAGATGCCCATAGTTATTTTTAAGGGGACCTATCATATCTCTGACTTTTGTTCTATATACCTGGAAAAAACTTTTTGGGTTTTAGAATCCCTAGCAACTTTAATTTCATAGTCCCGTTTAGCTTTTCTTATCCCCTTTTTATCGTCCCTCTTAATGTCAATATACTGATTCATAAGATGACCCTCACCTCTTTTCATATGCCTATAAATTCCTTTCTTCTGACCTAAAAGATATTTGAGCCTATTATTCATCCATTTGGGGTCATTTCTATTCGAAATGTCCTTTGGGCAGCATGTATTGCGTTAAGAAAGCTGTCATATTGATGGCTCTCTTCGTTACCCCAGTCAACAGGTGATAAGTGTTCTCTAAGCCCATCTTAATCTGCTAAGCGAAAATCTGGAACTATTACTGAGTTATCCCTACTATCATTTCCATTCAATGCTAAATGTAATTGATTTGTGCTAGAGTATACTGATACTAGGAGAGTGTGAGATATGAGGATAGACTGAGGTCCCTGAATCTGCACTCTCCCGAAAGGCGTAGAATTAGGGCGGATATGATTGAGGTGTATAAATGGAAGACAGGAATAAATAAAGGGGATGTAAATAGTGTGTTGAAAATATCTAGCCTAGACAGGACTCGCAGCAGTGGTTTTAAGTTGGAAAAATTCAGATTCAGGAAGGATATAGGAAAGTACTGGTTTGGTAATAGAGTTGTGGATGAGTGGAACAAACTCCCGAGTACAGTTATTGAGGCTAAAACGTTGTGTAGTTTTAAAAATAGGTTAGATAAATACACCAACTTACACCCACCCACTCAGGTATTTATCCAACTTACCTACTTAACTAACGAAACGTTTCACCAAGAGTAGTGAAACGTTCCCTTCGTAATGCTCCGAGTAGTTTCTTGGTAAACGTTTCACAAAGTATAACGTTTCCTGGACGTGTTTCCTTATTTTTGTGGTAGTTCGTCGTGTGCAAGTAATGAAGGTCACGATACCTTGGCTGCAACACAGAAATTAAATATAAAACTTTACATCTGATGTTTACAAAACTGACTAGTTGAAGAATGAGGAACTTGTGAAACATTTAGGTAGCTCTATTATGGAAAAGTTTGGCCTGTCAGTGGCATCTTCAGTGGGTGGCGAGGCACGTGGTGTGTGGTGTGGCACGTGGTGTGGTGATGCACGTGGTGTGGTGAGGCACGTGGTGTGGTGAGGCACGTGGTGTGTGATGCATGTGTGTGGTGAGGCACGTGGTGTGTGGTGAGGCACGTGGTGTGTGGTGTGGCACGTGGTGTGTGATGATGCATGTGGTGTGTGGTGAGGCACGTGGTGTGTGGTGAGGCACGTGGTGTGTGGTGTGGCACGTGGTGTGTGATGATGCATGTGGTGTGTGGTGAGGCACGTGGTGTGTGTTGATGCACGTGGTGTGTGAGACACGTGGTGTGTGGTGAGGCACGTGGTGTGTGGTGATGCACGTGGCGTGTGGTGTGGCACGTGTTGTGGTGATGCACGTGGTGTGTGGTTGAGGCACGTGGTGTGTGGTGGGCACGTGGTGTGTGGTGAGGACTGGGTTGGTGATGCACGTGCTGTGTGGTGAGGCACGTGTTGTGGTGATGCACGTGGTGTGTGGTGAGGCACGTGGTGTGTGGTGAGGCACGTGGTGTGTGGTGAGGCATGTGGTGTGTGGTGAGGCACGTGGTGTGGTGAGGCACGTTGTGTGTGGTGAGGCACGTGGTGTGTGGTGAGGCACGTGGTGTGGTGATGCACGTGCTGTGTGGTGAGGCACGTGTTGTGGTGATGCACGTGGTGTGTGGTGAGGCACGTGGTGTGTGGTGAGGCACGTGGTGTGTGGTGAGGCACGTGGTGTGGTGATGCACGTGCTGTGTGGTGAGGCATGTGTTGTGGTGATGGCAGTGGTGTGTGGTGAGGCACGTGGTGTGTGAGGCACGTGGTGTGTGGTGAGGCACGTGGTGTGGGGTGAGGCACGTGGTGTGGTGAGGCACGTGGTGTGTGAGGCACGTGGTGTGTGGTGAGGCACGTGGTGTGTGGTGAAGCACGTGGTGTGTGAGGCACGTGGTGTGTGGTGAGGCACGTGGTGTGTGGTGAGGCACGTGGTGTGTGAGGCACGTGGTGTGTGGTGAGGCACGTGGTGTGTGGTGAGGCACGAGGTGTGTGGTGAGACACATGGTGTGTGGTGAGGCACGTGGTGTGTGGTGAGGCACGTGGTGTGTGGTGAGGCACGTGGTGTGTGGTGAGACACGTGGAGTGTGGTGAGGCACGTGGTGTGTGGTGAGGCACGTGGTGTGTGGTGAGGCACGTGGTGTGTGGCGAGGCACGTGGTGTGTGGTGAGGCACGTGGTGTGTGATGCACGTGGTGTGTGGTGAGGCACGTGGTGTGTGGTGAGGCACGTGCTGTGTGATGCACGTGGTGTGTGGTGAGGCACGTGGTGTGATGCACGTTCTGTGTGGTGAGGCACGTGGTGTGTGGTGAGACACGTGCTGTGTGATGCACGTGCTGTGTGATGCACGTGGTGTGTGGTGAGGCACGTGGTGTGTGGTGATGCACCGGGTGTGGTGATGCACGTGGTGTGTGGCGAGGCACGTGGTGTGGTGAGGCACGTGCTGTGTGATGCACGTGCTGTGTGGTGAGGCACGTGGTGTGTGGTGATGCACGTGCTGTGTGATGCACGTGGTGTGTGGTGAGGCACGTGGTGTGTGGTGAGGCACGTGGTGTGATGCACGTGGTGTGTGGTGAGGCACGTAGTGTGTGGTGATGCACGTGGTGGGGGTGTGCACGTGGTGGGGGTTGTGGGGCACGTGGTGTGTGGTGATTGCACGTGGTGTGTGGTGATACACGTGGTGTGTGGTGAGGCACGTGGTGTGTGGTGATGCACTTGGTGTGTGGTGAGGCAAGTGCTGTGATGATGCACGTGCTGTGTGATGATGCACGTGGTGTGTGGTGAGGCACGTGGTGTGTGGTGATGCACGTGGTGTGTGGTGAGGCACGTGGTGTGTGGTGATGCACGTGGTGTGTGGTGAGGCACGTGGTGTGTGGTGAGGCACGTGGTGTGTGGTGAGGCACGTGGTGTGATGATGCACGTGCTGTGTGATGCACGTGGTGTGGTGAGGCACGTGCTGTGTGATGCACATGGTGTGGTGAGGCACGTGGTGTGTGGTGAGGCACGTGGTGTGTGGTGAGGCACGTGGTGTGTGATGATGCACGTGGTGTGTGGTGAGGCACGTGGTGTGTGGTGATGCACGTGCTGTGATGCACGTGGTGTGTGGTGAGGCACGTGGTGTGTGGTGAGGCACGTGGTGTGTGGTGAGGCACGTGGTGTGTGGTGTGGCACGTGGTGTGTGGTGTGGCATGTGGTCTGTGGTGTGGCACGTGGTGTGTGGTGAGACACGTGGAGTGTGGTGAGGCACGTTGTGTGTGGTGAGGCACGTGGTGTGTGGTGAGGCACATGGTGTGTGGTGAGGCACGTGGTGTGGTAAGGCACGTGGTGTGTGGTGAGGCACGTGGTGTGTGGTGAGGCACGTGGTGTGGTGAGACACGTGGTGTGTGGTGAGGCACGTGGTTGTGTGGTTGAGACACGTGGTTTTGTGGTGAGACACAGGGTTTTGTGTGGTGAGGCACGTGGGTGTGGGGTAAAGGACACGTGGTGTGTGGTGACACCGTGGGTGTGGTGGGCACGTGGTGTGTGGTGACACGTGGTGTGTGGTGAGGCACGTGGAGTGTGGTGTGGCACGTGGTGTGTGGTGTGGCACGTGGAGTGTGGTGAGGCACGTGGTGTGTGGTGAGGCACGTGGTATGTGGTGAGACACATGGTGTGTGGTGAGGCACGTGGTGTGTGGTGACACGTGGTGTGGTGAGACACGTGGTGTGTGGTGAGACACATGGTGTGGTGAGGCACGGGGGTGTGTGGTGCCCACTTTTGGTGTGTGGTGGGACGTGGTGTGTGGTGAGGCACGTGGTGTGTGGTGACACACGTGGAGTGTGGTGTGGCACGTGGAGTGTGGTGTGGCACGTGGTGTGTGGTGTGGCACGTGGTGTGTGGTGAGGCACGTGGTGTGTGGTGAGGCACGTGGTGTGTGGTGAGGCACATGGTGTGTGGTGAGGCACGTGGTGTGTGGTGACACACGTGGAGTGTGGTGTGGCACGTGGTGTGTGGTGTGGCACGTGGTGTGTGGTGAGGCACGTGGTGTGTGGTGAGGCACGTGGTGTGTGGTGAGGCACGTGGTGTGTGGTGACACACGAGGAGTGTGGTGAGGCACGTGGTGTGGCACGTGGTGTGTGGTGAGACACGTGGTGTGTGGTGAGGCACGTGGTGTGTGGTGAGGCACGTGGTGTGTGGTGACACACGTGGTGTGTGGTGACACGTGGTGTGTGGTGACACGTGGAGTGTGTGTGGGCACGTGGTGTGTGGTGAGACCGTGGTGTTTTTGGTGACACGTGGTGTGTGGTGAGGCACGTGGGTGTGTGGTGAGGCACGTGGTGTTTTGGTTTAAGGCACGTGGTTTTGTGGTGGACACACGTGGTGTGTGGTGACACACGTGGTGTTTTGTGACACACGTGGAGTGTGTGTGTGGCACGTGGTGTGTGGTGACACGTGGTGTGTGGTGACACGTGGTGTGTGGTGTGGCACGTGGTGTGTGGTGAGGCACGTGGTGTGTGGGGACACGTGGTGTGTGGTGAGGCACGTGGTGTGTGGTAAGGCACGTGGTGTGTGGTGACACGTGGTGTGTGGTGACACGTGGTGTGTGGTGAGACACGTGGTGTGGTGAGGCACGTGGTGTGTGGTGAGACACGTGGTGTGTGGTGAGACACGTGGTGTGTGGTGAGGCACGTGGGGTGTGGTGAGGCACGTGGTGTGTGGTGAGGCACGTGGTGTGTGGTGACACACGTGGTGTGTGGTGAGGCACGTGGTGTGTGGTGAGGCACGTGGTGTGTGGTGAGGCACGTGGTGTGGGGTGAGACACGTGGAGTGTGGTGAGGCACGTGGTGTGTGGTGAGGCACGTGGTGTGTGGTGAGGCACGTGGTGTGTGGTGAGGACAGTGGTGTGTGGTGAGGCACGTGGTGTGTGGTGAGGCACGTGGTGTGTGGTGAGGCACGTGGTGTGTGGTGAGGCACGTGGTGTAGCCACTCAGCTGTTATAATGTAAACAACTCTTGACGCTTTTTTGTATCACATTTGTACACACAAAAACTTATTTTTTCTCTCTAAACTGTGTTGTGTGTTCCTTACCCCTGCCTCCCCCCTCCCCTCCCTTTTTTCCCTTCTTGCCTCCACTTCCACCCTCCCTCTCCTCCACTGCTAGGTATCCCTTTCCTCCCTGTTCCCACCCACTCTCTCACTTCTCTCCCTTCCTAGCTAGGTACTACCGTCCTGTCATGTGTGAAACAGAAGCCTATTAAACGTGTTGCACTCTGGCAAGATTGTTCATCTTTTTTTCCTAGATTTTGACAACAGTTAAGATTACAGGTAAACAAACTTATGCTTACAGCACACAAGTAACCCACACACAGAAGACACTCATGAGGTGGTCATAAGTGCCTCTTCTATGTGTGGGTGACTTGTGTGTTGTTCTGGTCATGGTATTGTGCCCTTTTATTCCTCTACTTCCATTCACTGTGTGTCTTAAAGTTGGTGCCAGATCAGTTAAGCTGTGCTTCGTACATTGGATCAAGTGCGGCCAGCAGTAACAGCCTGGTTGATCAGACCCTGATCCACCAGGAGGCCTGGTCATGGACTAGGCCGTGGGAGCGTTGATCCCCGAATTACCCTCCAGGTAGACTCCAGGTCTTCCTTAACTATCCTGTTTCCTCATACATGTAGTTATTAATCCAGTAATGTTTCCTAGTTCAGTAGGCCAGGTCTGAGACTAGGCCTACCTGGAGGGTTCAATAATGTTAGTAGAATTACCACAGGCTTGACAAAGCTCCTGGAGGATGAAATGCTGCCTCAGTAATGTTGCGTTAGTTGTACTTGTGTTTTTTTACCTAACATACCTGAAGGGTGAAATTTAGACACGTGCAATATCTGGGTATCTTTATTGTAGACTTTTCATCAGTACAAATTGAAGGACATAATTGGAAGACAGTAGAACTATATACAAAACGTGAGGTAATCAGTCCCTCAGCCTTGGAGTTTAAGAGCACCTGTGGTGCTGTTCAGCTCGTCTGTCGGTGAAAAGCAGGGTTGCAGTGGGCACAATAAGGGAACACTGTATCAGCATCCATGGCCCCTGATTATTTAGCATCGTTCCAGAAGATATCAGAAACTGCTGGGACAAGTGTAGAAGTCTTCAAGAGGAAACTGGACATGTATATTCACCAGGTACCAGATCAGCCAGGCTGTGATGGATATGTTGAACAGCAGGCCACCAGCAGCAATGACCTGGTTGACCAGGCTAGCACCAGATGAGTAGAAAAACTTGCAACACATCAGTGGTATATCAAAGGTTGTCTCATGTATGTGAAACAGAAGGACATGTATTAAATGTTTTGCACTCTGGCCCAAGACTGTTCAACAGCTTCCCACCATGCATAAGGAGAATTACCAGTAGACCCCTGACTGCCATCAAAAGGGAGCTGGACAGATATTTAAAGTCAGTGCCAGTTCAGCCGGGCTGTGGTTTGTATATTGGACTGCTTGCGGCCAGCAGTAACAGCCTAGTTGATCAGGCCTTGATCGACCGGGAGGCCTGATTGTGAACTGGGCCATGGGGGCATTTATCCCTGGAATACCCTCCAGGTATATATGTAAAATGACAGGTAAATCTCTCAGTTTTCTGCTCATGTTCACTATAGATGTTCCTCAACTTACGAGGGAGTTAGGTTCCCATAATCCCATTGTAAATTCAAACTATCATAAGCCAGATATGAATGCTATGCTAAATAAACAAGTACATAAATAACTACTGTCACTGAATAGGTAAACAAATAATTACTGCAACTAAATACCATTATGTATTGAAAAGTGAATAAATGAATACAAGTTTATCCTATCAATGAATGCACAGTACTGTACGCTACTGAACATACATCGCTATCACACAATTGTAAAGTCGAAATATCGTAAGTCGAGGAGCACCTGTAATCTAATCTTTAGTTTCTTGTTTCCTAGTAGCTGTAGTTCTTAACATAAGAACATAAGGAGGAACACTGCAGCAGGCCTGTTGGCCCATACTAGGCAGGTCCTTTACAATTCATCCCACTAACAAAACATTTGCCCAACCCAATTTTCAGTGCTACCCAGGTAATACTCTATTTACTACCTAGGTAATACTCTATTTACTACCCAGGTAATACTCTATTTACTACCCAGGTAATACTCTATTTACTTTTTAGTGTAGAAGGTCTAGCTGTGGAAGCCATGATTCCAAGAGTATTAATGGATATAATGTGTAATTTCCTTTCCAGTTTATGAGATGTGGTCTGACAGGTCCACAAGAATGCTAATCTCCCATATACAGTGGAACCTCAGATATCGAACTTTCTTTGGTCCAGAAGGCTGTTTGAGTGCCTTTACCGAATGAATTTATTTCCATGAGGAATAATGTAAATTATGTTAGTCCATTTCAGACCCTCAAAAATACACTTAGAAAAGCACTTACAAAAATAAACTTACATAATTGGTTGTGTTGGGAGCAGTTCGATTTTTGAGGTTCCACTGTATTAGCAGATTACAGATAATTAGGTAACAGGACATGTGATACTGGGCTGATGAAGTCACTGTGTGGAAAAACATTTCCACAGTAAAGATACCCAGGTATTGCACATGTGTCTAATATATCAACTTGTCAGTTGTTTGATGCATGTATCTACAAATGGCCGCATGTACAACTAATGTGACATTTTATTGTGGCAACATTATGCTTTCCAGGAGCTTTGTCAGTCCATTACGAATGGTACAAGAACACACACAAGGTATATAAAGGTATTATAGTGAGGTGTAAAATCGTAATATAATTGTTGTAGGTAGTAATAGTAGTGGTGGTAGTAGTAGTGGTAATTCTACCAACATTATTACAGATTAACAAATGTTTAACAAAATCTGTTTCTTTCAGATGTCTTCTAACACGGGATTTTGTGAGGCTGGGTCGCTGGTTTGTGCAACCTTACGAGGGTCCAGAGGGTATCCCGGGTAGTAGTAGGTCAGATATTTATTTTGTTATACATATGAGTATTGCTCGGAAAACCCATTTGTAAAATAGGCAAGAAACAAGACTGAGAGTTTGCTATTGGCATTCACTGAGAGTTTACTATTGGTATACACTGACCTTGAAGCAAGGACCTTGTTATTATAGCATTGATACAGGTTTTAAAATACTCTTAATAAAACCCAGAGTATGGTAGGAATACACAAAACTATTCATATTTTGTGATGCACTAAATCCATGTGGGCTAGTCAGCACCAGGAACAGTGTAGGCTTAATCCTCCATCCACTCAGTGTCACTGATAAGTCATTCTGATGAAGGCTAAAATAAAGAATATGTTTACTAAATTTGTTTGATATATACTTGTAGTGATTACTAAAAAAAAATACGAGTTTCTTTAAAAAAAATAAGTATTTTACAGGTTAACTTTTGCATTAAGAACTTTGTGAAGTTCAAATATTTACCATAACATCTTGACATAAGTAAAAGATTACTCTGTACATAACATCTTTCTTCCATGCTTCTTATCAAGACTTGCTTCTCAAGCCGTAATTCCTCTTCATGTGATAAACACCTGCATCACCTGCAACTATTATTACAAATGCCCCAAAGCTGCTCTATACATCTGTACTTATAAATTAGCTTACTTAGGAAACATTTGGAGTTTTACAACTGTGCATGTGCAGTTATGAGCATGTGTGAAACATGCCCGTCCTTTGTACTATTGTTTTCTATACAAGTAACTTGTTTGTAACTTGAGCACCAGGACTGCAACTTGTTCCAAAGTTGGGAACCTGTATTTTCATCCATTCATTTAGGTCCTTGGTACAGAAAATAGGTAGACAATGGATAACTAAACTGTAATGAATGCGTGATACTGCTCAATATAACCCACATGGAGATAGAAACACAGAAAATTAATTGGTCTTTATATTTTCATTCCTTTCTGGGATCTTCTTCAGCAGATGCACAAGTGAAAGGAGAACATAAATGTGTAGGGAAGGTTGTACCTCTCCCTGTACAAGGGAGTGGCATATAGGGGGACGTATCAAGTAGTGAGTGGATGAGGTGACAGGTCCTGGGTAGGAAGTTCCTTTGTGTTATGCGATTCCTGAGCTCATGTTATGTTCACAGAAAGTTCTAAACTCTCATATGTTATACAGTGCTTGTGGAATGAGTGTGATCCGAATAAAGGGATGGTAGCTCTGATACTATTTGATATTAGTGAAGAGCTTTATGTCTGTGTACCTACTTAAAGGGTGAACTTAAGAGTATCACAGTGTAAGGGTTGAAATATTAACAGTTTTGTTTCCTGTATTTTCAAAACGATGGGTTTTCAAGTGATTTACGAGTGTGACATTACTTGTTTTTCTGTTAATGTGAATATTTTGAGTTAATATTCAGGAGGGCCCCCACATATACGGCACCTATTTTCAGTGCCCCATGTTTTCATTGGCTTTCAAGTGAGCCATTGTTCCACCCACCGGCGATTGTCACCAGCGGGTGGAACATAATGAACAATGGCTCAGTTTGAAGCCAACGAAAACATGGAACACCAAAAAGAAGGCAATGTATATGCGTGGCCCTCCTGTAATTGTTACCACTTTGTGCAGTAACAGTGTATCAATGAAAAGTTTATCTGAATAATCTAAGAGCAATTTTTTCATCATTGCAGTACCCACTTGTCCTTCAGTTTATCATTCTTTGTCCATGGTGAGAGCATCGTCTGTGCGAGTGTAGATGTACGGCAGCATCCACCAGTAAGACAGCTGACCCGTCGACATCTACTGTTGGCGCAACAAACCAACCATGGCATACCAGGTACTATGAAGATAGATTACCAACCAAGATTGTAATATACAGTACGTATATAATTCTATATCATTTATAAGCAGGATCCCTGCCCAAGCCTTGCTGCGCCCTCCGCATGTATCAACAAGCTTCTCACTTTCCTCAAGGCCTAGGGATGGGCAGTGGGATCAGGCTGGGCTCTGCCATGTATTACTGAATATATTCCTCCATTTTTAATATATTCCATTAGCAAGACTAAGAGTTATAATACCAAGTCTGTAATAATTTGTAACAAACCCATGATTTTGATTTTTTGGTATTTTGGCTTAGCCTGGACTGCTGTCAAATTATGAACAGTAAAGGTGGGTGCTTACTTTATACCTCTTTGCTTTACAGTGTTTTGCTAATGCAGCAGTTTTTAATTATAGCCATTCTTTATTCAGATTTCCTACAATAAGTATATTTAGTACTCATAAGCTAAGGATGGAAATATTTTAAGGTAAGTAATGTGCGTGCTGTATATGCATTATTTAGGCCTAACTCTATTGCTCACATAATATATGACAGTGTAAACTTGTTATCAGGATTTTAAGTGTATTGAAAGTGAATAAAGGCTATGATTCACTTTACAGTGATTTTCACTTTACGATGGTAGCCTGGAACCTAACCTGCTGCATAAGCGGAGCCCTCCTGGGAGGGCTCCACTTATACAGCCAGTTAAGTTCCAGGCTACTGTAGAGCCTCGCTTGTACAGCAGGTTAGGTTCCAGACTACTGTAGGGTCCCGCTTATACAGCAGGTTAGGTTCCAGACTACTGTAGGGTCCCGCTTATACAGCAGGTTAGGTTCCAGACTACTGTAGGGTCCCGCTTATACAGCAGGTTAGGTTCCAGACTACTGTAGGGTCCCGCTTATACAGCAGGTTAGGTTCCAGACTACTGTAGGGTCCCGCTTATACAGCAGGTTAGGTTCCAGACTACTGTAGGGTCCCGCTTATACAGCAGGTTAGGTTCCAGGCTACTGTAGGGTCCCACTTATACAGCAGGTTAGGTTCCAGGCTACTCTGGGGCCCTGCTTATCCAGCAGGTTAAGTTCTGGACTGCTGTTGTAAAGTGAAAATTGCTGTACAGTGAAACATAGCACTTTTTTTTTGTTTCACTTTCAAATGCATATAGTAGTTACACTATCATATATTAAGTGAGCAACAGAACTAGGCCTAAAAAATGCATATACAGAACACACGTTACTTCTTCTTCTCAACAAACCGGCAACAAACCGGCCATATCCCACCGAGGCGGGGTGGCCTAAAAAGAAAAACAAAAGTTTCTCCTTTTACATTTAGTAATATATACAGGAGAAGGATTACTAGCCCCTTGCCCCCGGCATTTTAGTTGCCTCTTACAACACGCATAGCTTACGGAGGAAGAATTCTGTTCCACTTCCCCATTGAGATAAGAGGAAATAAAAAAGAACAAGAACCAGAAAGAAAATAGCAGAAAACCCAGAGGGGTTTGTGTATATATATGCTTGTACATGTATGTGTAGTGTGACCTAAGTGTAAGTAGAAGTAGCAAGACATACCCAAAATCTTGCATGTTTATGAGACAGAAAAAAAGACACCAGCAATCCTACCGTCATGTAAAACAATTACAGGCTTCAGTTTTACACTCGCTTGGCAGGACGGTAGTACCTCCCTGGGCGGTTGCTGTTTACCAACCTACTACCTAACACACATTACTTTCTTTAAAATATTTTCACTTTAGCATATGATAAGTGGTGAATATACTTATTGTAGGAAACTTGAATAAGTGAAGAATGGCTATAACTGAAAACTGCTGTATTAGCAAAATGACATAAAGCAAAGTGTTGTAAAGTGGGGCCCTCCCATACTTTATGCTGAGAGAAAGGAATAGTTTTAATTTTTTTTTTTTTCAACATGCTGGCTGCCTCCCACTGAGGCAAGGTCCCTCCCCTTCCCAAAAGAAAAAAAAAAAACTTTATTCCATTCACACTATTACTGTCTTTGCAAAGTTATGCAGATATGACAATTTAGATGTCACTCTCAACAGCAAATATCCCAGACCTCTCCTTTAAAGTGCAGGCATTGTTTTAATATGCTAAGAGAAGGAGTTGAAATATGTGAAGAGGATGGAGCAGTTCCTGCTGAGGATTTTTCATTGATATAGTATTGTTCAATTTTAGAAGGCACAGGGTTAGTAGAGCAGTAAGCTTATAAAGAATAAAAGTTACAATGCCATGGCTGGAACAATTCACAATAAATCACAAACTGGAAATTAATGTACAGACAACATTCTGGCTAGTCCAGGGCCAGTATTGACTCGATATTGGTCCACAACTGTCTGAAATGTCACCCAAAAACTTGCCTCCAATTTGCAGGGTAGTTGTGGCCAAGTTAATAATTTAGTTTTGGGAGTGTTAATGCCTGTATTTTACATCGCTGTGATAATGTTCACAGAAGTTCTACTCTTGTAATTTATTTTCATGTATATAAATGTATGGTATTAGCTGTTTGGAGGGACGTCTGAACTGTCATATCTGGGTGCCTCTGCAGAGAGTGATTATGTGTGGATGATGGTGAAAGTGTTGAATGATGGCAAGTGTTTTTCGTTTTTTGGGTCACCCTGCCTCAGTGGGAGACTGCCAACATATTAAAAAATATAAATGCCTGTTTTTTTCAAGGCTACAATATTGTTCACTGAAGTGGTAGACTTCATTTATTTTCATGTATGTTAATACCTGTATTATTTTCAGTGATCTTGGGCCCATATGGACTGAGTGGTACACTTACTGGTGTAAGTTATCGCCATTCTGAACCTCAAATACAAAAACTCTTGGAAGATTGGAGACAGTTTTTTCCTGTAGAAACCAAAGTTCCACCCACAGACTCCCTGGAGCCTGCTCTCCCCGCAGCTGTCGAAGTTATTGTGGGTATGTAGCCACGAGAAGTATGTTATTGTACTGTTAATGATGTAAAATCTTTGATGTAATGATAGACCTCTACATAATGGACTCGTGTAGCCAGGAGAAGTATTTTATTGTACTGTTTATCACGTAAAATCTTTGGTATAAGAAACCTCTATGTAATAGACTCATGTAGCCAGGAGTATTTTATTGTACTGTTTGTGTAAAATCTTCGATATAACAGACCTCTATGTGATGGACTCAGGAAATACTGAACAAAATCTGCTGGGTCAGTTGAGGAAATAATGGGCAGTGTCTGTTGGTTTCAAATTGTTTTTTATTGTTACAATCACTGCAAAACAATCTCTTATGTCCATCACAGTTGCTATTATTAGCCATCTATTCATCCCTATTAGTCCATTATATCAAGGATTTACTAGTCTATGTATTTATTGATATCTTAACTCTACTATGGAAAATGGTTAAAAAGTGTATTTATCTATGTATTTATGTCATTATTCTTATCTTTTTAGGAGGCCACAAGATGCGCTACCCAACGTGTTATGTGTTAGTGACGGATATGGACGATTACCTGATGGCTGGGCGAGGTGCAAGTATTTTAAATATGGGACAAATGGCTCCTGGGGGCCTTAAGGGAGGGCTGGCAAACGAGAGTACTTCAGAGGGTAGCGACGGGTCAAACCTTCCCACACACAATTCTCCCTTCACAGCTTCTACGCATACTCTTTTAGCCTCGGAGTATCTAAACTCTGGGGGACGAGGCTTGGGCTGGTCTCGGGGAATGTGCGAACGTGTCTGGCAAGATATAGTACAATGTCCTGGACAGCAGCCCCCAGTGCAGCATGATTGCCTCACTCCAGAAGGAACGTTAACCCCTGCAGAAATTGCTGGCCAATGGGACTTCTCTGACCCAGCCACGAAGATCAGCTGTTCGTGTGCCAAGTATGACTACCTTCTTTTTGTAAATTTTCTAAAACTCCATATAGAATGCATTTTATGTCAAGTTATTGTATCTACATTAGTATGTTACACATGTATTATTCTAAAATCTTAATTTTGTCTTGTTTTTTAATTAAAGTCTCTTGATAACTGGTCATGTTTTAGAATTTGTAAAAGTCACTGTTGCATGAAATAGACGGAAATTTAAAAAAAAGTTTCCACTTTGCCACTTGAATTTGATATAGATATTTGTACACTCTTCACTGCATGATGCATGAATGTAAAGTATTTTGTTGCTAGTACGTATGAATCACTGTTATCCTTCAGTATTGTATATTTCACTTCTATAGTAGAAAATATTATTACCAGGATACCAAATCGATGCTAAAGCTGATGATAAACCATATGTTTAGTTTTTAAATGTTTGTTAGTTGAATTTCAAAGAATTTATTGTTAGAAAAGATTTCCTTTTCAAAATGCCAGTAAGATTACCTTGTTAAAAGGTCAGTGAGGTTGCCCTGTTAAAAGGTCGGCAGGATTATCTTGCTAGAAGGTTGGTAAGATTATCTTATTAAAAGGTCAGTGAGGATTACCTTGTTAGAAGGTCAGCGAGGATTACCTTGTTGAAAGGTCATTGAGGATTACCTTGTTAAAAGGTCAGCGAGGATTACCTTGTTGAAAGGTCAGCGAGGATTGCCTTGTTAAAAGGTCAGCGAGGATTACCCTGTTAAAAGGTCAGCGAGGATTACCCTGTTAAAAGGTCAGCGAGGATTACCTTGTTAAAAGGTAAAGCAGAAGGAAAAAATTAAGAGTGGAAGTTATGATTATGGTTAAGGTCAGATGTGAGAGTGAGTATGTGTGTGTGTGTGTGTTGTGTGTGTGTGTGTGTGTGTGTGTGTGTGTGTGTGTGTGTGTGGGTTTTTTGTTTGTTTGTTTGTTTGTGAGTGGTGTGTTTTGTGTATGTTTGTTTGTGTGTGCGGTGTGTGAGTGAGAGCGTGTGTGTGTGGGGTGCGTGTGTGTTGTTTGTGTGGGGAGTGTGTGTGTATGTTTGTTTGTGTGGCGTGTGTGAGAGTGAGAGCGTTTTTGTGTGCGCGTGTGTGTGTTTGTGTGAGTGTGTGTGGTGTGTGTGTGTGTGTGTGTGTGTGTGTGTGTGTGTGTGTGTGTGTGTGTATATGTTTGTGTGTGCATGTGTGAGAGAGAGTGAGAGTGTGTGTGTGTGTGTGTGAGAGAGAGAGAGAGAGTAAACATATAACAACTTAGTGGTAGATAAAGGAGCAGAGATATGCTAGTGTTGTCCCATCTTGTGTATTTAGTTTATGTAATAGTTTGTACTTTCTAGTGCCAGAAACACTTTGCAAAATTTTCTTTTCAGTTTTATTCCAGCATTTTACCATTCACAGTTTGTGGAGTATTTTCTCCCATACACAGTTTGTGAAGTATTTTCCCCCATACACAGTTTGTGGAGTATTTTCTCACATACACAGTTTGTGGAGTATTTTCTCACATACACAGTTTGTGGAGTATTTTCTCACATACACAGTTTGTGAAGTATTTTCTCCCATACACAGTTTGTGGAGTATTTTCTCACATACACAGTTTGTGGAGTATTTTCTCACACAGTTTGTGGAGTATTTTCTCACATACACAGTTTGTGGAGTATTTTCTCACATACACAGTTTGTGGAGTATTTTCTCACACAGTTTGTGGAGTATTTTCTCACATACCAGTTTGTGGAGTATTTTTTTCACATACACAGTTTGTGGAGTATTTTCTCACATACACAGTTTGTGAAGTATTTTCTCCCATACACAGTTTGTGGAGTATTTTCTCACATACACAGTTTGTGGAGTATTTTCTCACATACACAGTTTGTGGAGTATTTTCTCCCATACACAGTTTGTGAAGTATTTTCTCACATACACAGTTTGTGGAGTATTTTCTCCCATACACAGTGTGTGAAGTATTTTCTCACATACATAAGAACATAAGAACATAAGAAAAGGAGGAACACTGCAGGAGGCCTGCTGGCCCATACTAGGCAGGTCCTTTACAATTCATCCCACTAACAAAACATTTGCCCAACCCAATTTTCAATGCCACCCAAGAAATAAGCTCTGATGTGAAAGTCCCACTCAAATCCAACCCCTCCCACTCATGTACTTATCCAACCTAGATTTGAAACTACCCAAAGTCCCAGCCTCAATAACCCAACTAGGTAGACTGTTCCACTCATCAACTACCCTATTTCCAAAACCAATACTTTCCTATGTCCTTTCTAAATCTAAACTTACCTAATTTAAATCCATTACTGCGCGTTCTCTCTTGGAGAGACATCCTCAAGACCTTATTAATATCCCTTTATTTATACCTATCTTCCACTTATACACTTCGATCAGGTCTCCCCTCATTCTTCGTCTAACAAGTGAATGTAACTTAAGAGTCTTCAATCTTTCTTCATAAGGAAGATTTCTGATGCTATGTATTAATTTAGTCATCCTACGCTGAATGTTTTCTAACGAATTTATGTCCATTTTGTAATACGGAGACCAGAACTGAGCTGCATAATCTAGGTGAGGCCTTACTAATGATGTATAAAGCTGCAGTATGACCTCTGGACTTCTGTTGCTTACACTTCTTGATATAAATCCCAGTAATCTATTTGCCTTATTACGTACGCTTAGGCATTGCTGTCTTGGTTTAAGGTTGCTGCTCACCATAACCCCCAAGTCCTTTTCGCAATCTGTATGGCTAAGTTCTACATCATTTAATTTATAAGTACTAGTGTTATGGGCACTCCCAAGCCTCAGAACCTTGCATTTATCTACATTGAACTGCATCTGCCACTTTTCTGACCAAGAATAGAGTTTGTTTAAATCCTCCTGAAGTTCCCTAACATCTACGTTTGAATCAATTATCCTACCTATCTTTGTGTCATCGGCGAATTTGCTCATATCACTAGTAATTTCCCTCATCAAGATCATTGATATATATTATAAACAACAACGGGCCCAAGACTGATCCCTGTGGAACGCCACTTGTTACAGATCCCCACTCGGATTTAACCCCCATTTATGGACACTCTCTGCTTCCTGTCAGTGAGCCATGACTCGATCCACGAGAGCACTTTTCCCCCAATGCCATGAGCTGCCACTTTCTTTAACAGTCTATGGTGCGGAACTCTATCAAAAGCCTTACTAAAATCTAAGTAAATAATATCAAATTCTTTATTGTGGTCAACAGCCTCAAAAGCTTTACTGAAGAAAGTTAATAAATAGTTAGACAAGACCGGCCTCTTGTGAATCCATGCTGAGTATCATTAATCAAGCTATGCTTATCGAGATGGCTTCTTATAATCTCAGCTATAATTGACTCTAGTAATTTGCCTACAATTGAGGTCAGGCTTATTGGGCGGTAATTTGACGGTAACGACTTGTCCCCTGTTTTAAAAATAGGAGTTACATTAGCCATCTTCCACATATCAGACACTACACCTGTTTGAAGAGATAAATTAAAAATATTAGTTAATGGTTCACAGAGTTCCATTTTGCATTCCAAAAGAACCCTTAAAAAACCCCTTTAGGACCTGGCGACTTATTTTGTTAGTTGTCTATCTGCCTCACAACCTCTCAAGTGATGTGATGTTACATAATTTTTTTCTTTTCTAGCCCTGTAAAAATTAATTATGGAATATTGTTGTGTTTCCTGTGAAAAAATGGGAGAAAATATTTTTTAAAAAATAAAGCCTTTATTCTTTTGTCGAGGTGCCCATATTTTATTTTTAAGGGGACCATCTTATCTCTAACTTTTGTTTATAGACCGGGAAAAAATTTTTGGGTTAGTTTTAGAATCCCTAGCAATTTTAATTTCATAGTCCCTTTTAGTTTTTCTTATCCCCTTTTTAATGTCCCTTTAATGTCAATTCTGTTCAAAAGATGACCCTACCTCTTTTGTACCCCCAAAAATTTCTTTCTTTTGCCCTGAGTATTTGAGCTATATTCACCCATTTTGGGTCATTTCTTTTTGATCTAATTTCTTTATATGGGATAAACGTTTCTTTGACGATGTTAGTTTTCAGAAAACTGTCATATTGAACTCTCTTCGTTCCCCCAGTAACGGATAAGTGTTTTTTTAAGCCATCGTAATCTGCAAAGCAAAAATTGGGACTGTTACGGGGTTTGCTACTCGTATTTCCCTTTCAATGCAAAATGAAATTTGATTTGTGGTCGCTAGCACCCGTTCCTTAAAATTTTCAAAATTATTAACGGGGATTCATTTTTTCCCATAACAAGTAAAGCGGTTGTGAAGTTTTTTCCCCATACACAGTTTGTAAAGTTTTTTCTCAATACACAGTTTGTGAAGTTTTTTCTCACATCACAGTTTGTGAAGTATTTTTCCATACACGTTTGTGAGTATTTTTCAATACACATTTTGTGAAGTTTTTTTCTCCATACAAGTTTGGAAGTATTTTTCCACATACCAGTTTGTAAAGTATTTTTCACTAAAAATTTTTGTGAAGATTTTCTCAATAACAGTTTGTGAAGTATTTTCTCCCATACACAGTTTGTGGAGTATTTTCTCACATACACAGTTTGTGAAGTATTTTCTCCCATACACAGTTTGTGAAGTATTTTCTCACATACACAGTTTGTGAAGTATTTTCTCCCATACAATAAACTCTCTTATAAAGCCTTTTCGTAAAAGTGATTGAAGAAGCACATCCAGAATTCAGTAGTGACTGGAGAGGCCTTTATAGTACATGCTGTTTAATTTGGGATACCTTTTTTCAGTCACTTCACTTCTATAAAGAGGAGTTTATAAGAGTGTTTATTGTATATTTTAAGCACTACTTTTTTTCCCTTACTGATAGAACTATAAAGTGTATCCTTATCTATTTTTGAATATCCTTTTATGCCTTTTAATGGATATCATATCACCTTTTTTTTTTTTAAACTTTTAGCACTAGCCATTTTCAGTGTTTTAAATTTAACTTCATAGCAGTTTTCAACTCTGGGGTTCACTTAATAACAAAATTGAGTTAACGCTTTATCTACACCTCTGTTTTTGACGCATTGGGAACGGTAGTGGGTTGATAGTCATCAACTATCTATAGAATTAAAGACCTAATTTTTTTCTTTTTTAACACTAGCCATCTTCCACCAGGGCAAGTTGACCCCCCAAAAAGGAAACCTTGTCACCATCACTTAGTTGTGCTCACGTATGTGTGGTTGGCGGGTCAAATCCTAGCTTTTAACCCCACTGCTCAACATGCAGATTGCCATATACACTCCATTCTAGTCTTTTGAGCCCTCGTACCTGCTCTCTAATCTGTGTAGAGCCTGTCTCCACTTTTCATTCTTATGTTCATATGTTCATTCTTATGTTCTTATTAACATTCTTATGTTATGGTCTAAATACATGGGTGATTTTGATAAGGACTTTACTGGTATGGGTCAGTAGGCCTGCTGCAGTGTTCCTCCATTCTTATGTTCTTGTGTCTACTTGCCTATATGTGGTTGCAGGGGTTGAGTCCTAACTCCTGGTCCTGTCCCTCAACTTGCCAGCTATGATAAAGCCTCCTGGGCTCTATGGTACCTGCTCTTAAAACTATGTATGGAGTCTGCCTCTACCACTTCATTGTAGAGATCATTCCACTTCCCGACCATTGTGGGTATGAGGAAATAGTTCCCGACATACCTTTGGCTCATCCATATCTTTATGTTCCAGCTTTGTTGCTGGATACCTCTTTCTCTCCACTGAAACAGTCCGTCACTGTCTACCCTGTCAGTTCCTCTTGAGTATTTTGTATATTATTTCTATCTTCCCTGGTCCTTCTGTCTTCAGGTATTGTTAGATTAAATTCTGTTAGCTTCTCCTCATAGCTTATTTCCCTTTGCACAATACACAAATAACTCGCATGTAGGAGAAAGAAATTTATGAGGATGTTTCAGTCCAAGTTGGTCCTGTACAGTATACTGTTGCCATTAGTGGTCCATAGGCTGACATAGACATTACTGCCTGGTTGAGCTGGTTCTTTGCTTAAGGTCTTCTTTCTTTCAACACATTGGCCGTATCCCACCGAGGCGGGGTGGCCCAAAAGGAAAAACAAGTTTTTCCTTTTACATTTAGTAATATATATAGGAGAAGGGGTTACTAGCTCCTTGCTCCTGGCATTTTAGTCGCCTCTTACAACACACATGGCTTATGGAGGAAGAATTCTGATCCACTTCCCCATGGAGTTTGCTAAAAGTATGCTTAGAAATCTTTTTACAGCATAAAGTACTTAGTCAAAACTGGACTGGTGGTGGTGGTAGATAAAAAAAATACAAGAGTTGAGGTTAATTGACTCCCTGAGCTAAGAAAAGTTATAAAAAGACCAAAAAACAGTTAAATTCTCTTGATGCTGATCAGAGGAGAAGAGAAGACATTATAAATGGATGCAGGAATTTTTTAACACAGGCCGTTGCCCCTCCTCAAATATGACACACATTCATCATCATTTATATAATTGCTATCTTGTCACCAGTCTTCTGGCATCACAGTTCAGATGGATCTCTGAACTGCAACACCTTTGACTTTCCTTCACAGTGCTGGCACTCTACTTCCCACCTCCATGCAAGTACAGTGTTGTACTTGCATGGAAGGGTGTTAATGTTGCAGCTTTATAACTGTAGTGTAAGTGTGCCTCTGGCAAGATAGTGATGGAGTGAATGATGGTGAAAGTTTTTCTTTTTCAGGCCACCCTACCTTGGTGGGAGACGGCCAATGTGTTAAAAAAAAAAAAGGTCTTAGACCCATCAACTTAGAAAACAAAAAGGACAACTTAAAATAGTCATACCTGCAACTGGGTTTAAGGTTTACTTTACCTTCTCAACCTGACATGATGCCAGACTTCCTTCTTGGAGACCATGACAATTGCAAAGAGCTCTCGAACTTTCTTTAGACATTTTGCACGTGCTGAAGAAGCCAGTTGAGGCTACATGTTTTAATAGGACGTTTCTCTCTTCTTTCTTGTGTCTTGAGACTTGTTGATTGTCTGATGCATGTTGTTTTTACACTGTAGGATACTAGACTGGTATGCAAGAGGAGGTAACAAGTTAGTGACTGCAAAGTTACAAAATAATAATTCTTATTTCTATAAGTACATGATACAACTCATACAGACCATAGCTGACATTAATGACATACTATACAGAAAGTCTCTGCTTATGCATAGCATTTCCCACAACTTAGGTTAATTTTGTCCTCCAAGATGTAACCCACACCAGTCGACTAACACCCAGGTTACCTACTTGCTGCTAAGTGAACAGTGACAGCAGGTGTTTTAAGGAAACAAACTTGTATACCATAGCTAGAACACATCAATAGTGACCTGCACTGAAGTGAGAGGAGGCTTGCAAGGATGTTTCAGTTCATCCTGGGCGAGTGTCCAGGATGAACTGAGATGTCCTCATAAGTTTACTTTTAAGTTCAGTATATCTGTGACTTGTATACAAGTTCAACATAAGATGGGACATCAGGAGCAAACCAGAACTCTGTTTCTCTGGCTACAATGAGGATTTCTTACAGATTCCTTTAATATAATAAGGAATATTCAGTTTTTCTAGTACAAGTATGATAGTACAGAAATTTTGTAAGACTTTTTGTGGTTGCAAAGTATGATTGTGAGAGTTGTTTTTGTTATTCTTGGCCTTCAAGGTGTAGGAGGGCCTTGGAGGAGGTGAAGGTATTATCAAGGAATTGCAGTGTACCCTTCTCTTCCTTGGATCAAACCTGATTGCTTCCCATTACTCTCCCCCACTTTCCTCATTCCCCAGGTGCAATACAACCCCTTTTGGCTTAGCTCTTCCCCCAAAATATAATAATTTAGTTAAAGGCTGACATAGGAATGCGTTGATAATAAGATTTAGGACTTGATTGATTGGATTTTTTAATTTAAAAAAAAAAATACCAATGAAGTAGGAATTAAATGAAATTATGATATATTTGGGACACATTTTGTGAATCATACATAACTGAGAGGTAATAATTTAGGTTAAATTGGCTGGTGATTTTTTTACATAGTATGGTTTTATTTTAGTTTTGTAAATATATTCAGAGAACTTTTGTGGATGATGCAAGATTTTTTTTTTTACAGATTCTTAGTTTACACAGAAAACCTTTCTTCATTGATTAAGCCCATTGTTTGTATTTTATGCAGAGTATATTTATATCTCACTGCAGTTACGTTTTTATCTCAGGTATTTAAAACTAGGAAACTGGTGTTAATATCAGATGCATCTAGTGTTGTTATAAGTTAGATAATCATCACTAAGATGTTTATATAATTATTATTGTAAGTTTAGTAATATGAGTAGAACACAGTACAGTGGACCCCCGGTTAACGATATTTTTTCACTCCAGAAGTATGTTCAGGTGCCAGTACTGACCGAATTTGTTCCCATAAGGAATATTGTGAAGTAGATTAGTCCATTTCAGACCCACAAACATACACGCACAAACGCACTTACATAAATACACTTACATAATTGGTCGCATTCAGAGGTGATCGTTATGCGGGGGTCCACTGTATTAGGAAAGGTCAAAGATGCGAAATATTCTTAAGTTTCAGTATTTATTATTTTTAGTTTCTAGTGCATTTTAAGTGTCAATACACATCTAGGTATTATATCCTTAATTATCAGTAATTTTCTTTACAGTATATGGATAAACACACTTATGATTCAAGTATTATTTTTTTTAATTAATTTTGGGGGAGTCCTAAAAGTTCAAACTTGTGGGTATGCCTGACACCAAAGATTGGGTTGAAAGCCCTTTGTCCCCCTAATGTGGGTATGCCTGATACCAAAGATTGGGTTGAAAACCCTTTGTCCCCCCCTAATGTGGGTATGGCTGACACCTAAGATTGGGTTGAGAGCCCTTTGTCCCCTTAATGTGGATATGCCTGACACCAGAGATTGGGTTGAAAGCCCTTGTTTTGAGTGTTTGTGGAACTGGCCATTGCAGGTGCAGAAGGGGTCGGGTCAGTAGTAAAGGGTGTAGCAGCAGTAAGGGCCGGGGAGAGAAAAGTAGTGGGGGAGGCGGGCGTCAACGGGGGGGCAGCTCGGTGACTGGCTGCACCCCCTTCCACAAGCGGCCCCCTCCGGCTCCCCTACCCTCGCATGATGAGGCGGTCCTGGACCAGTGTGGCGTGGCAGCCATCGAAGAATCTGAACTAATCCAGGCTGCTGCCAGGTACAGCCGCACAATACCAACACATACTGTATATTCTGTATATTGGTTACCCCATAACATTTTCACTCACTATTTTTCTCTCTTATCTACAAGACATGTGTTCCTCTTAAGTACAAGTGTCCCTCAGTTTATGCTGTAGAGAAAGAATGAGAGACTTGAGCAGCATTTGGGAATCTTTATTGTGGAAATATTTTGCCTGCCAGTGGCTTCTTCAGTCCACTACTCGGAAGAACAGTGGAAAATGAGGAGGGTTTTGAGGTTGTCAGTCCCGCAGCTTGGAGTCAACGTGTTCGATCCACCAGTCTTGACAAAAGTACTTGTCTCAAGATTTATGGACTGAAGATTCCAACTCCAGGCAGAGGAACTGATTACCACAAACTACAGTGGAACCACGGCACCCGAACTTAATTGTTTCCAAAAGGCTGTTCGAGTGCCGAGCTGTTAGAGTACAGAACAAATTTTTCCCAACCAATTTTCTTTTTGGTTGGCTGTTATCACTAACCCTCTTAAGTCCCATGGTGACTTGTATAAATATAAAAAAAAACAAAAAAATGCGAAAAAACACGAAATAGTTTACAGCGGAGTTCTGGCAGGTTGTGTTTGTCTGGCTAAGTGCCAAACAAATGGTCAACTATCAAGCGATTTATTTACTGAACAAAGCATTTGAATACCGAATTGTTTGAGTACGGAGCTGTTTGAGTACTGTGGGTTCCACTGTACTACTACTATCCCAAAATTCTTCTCTGTACTGGACTGAGGAAGCTACCAGCTGTTAAAACATTTCCTCAATAAAAATTTCTTAATGTTGCACAGGTATGATTCCTCAACTTGAGGGTTTCTAAACCATTTACATCACTTATGCTATAAATGGGTTTCAGAACTCTGGCACGTGGACTATGTTCATTAAGGCCGTGAATACAATTCTGCATCGTAAAAATCAATAATTTTCACAAACCGTACCAATCTTGTATGGATAATTTGTATCAAATATTCACTGTTATCAGCAGAAATAAAATAATCACAAAATAGAGAATTTGGATAAAATGAGGGAAGTCTGAATGTATTTTATTTTCCTCTCATTTCTTTCACTGAGGTTTTTTATTAAACATCTCTTGTCTTTATTTTTTTCTATTTTGAATGTAGTTTGCTTGGCAAACTATATACAGCACATACTCAATATATCACTTACATTTGATATATTGTAGTAGTTTTTTTCATTTTGAATGAAGATTTCTTTCAAAATCTCAAACATCCAAATTACAGAATATTGTGAGAGAGAGAGAGAGAACGTGTTCTTTAATTTTCTAATTTTCTTGATTCCTGAAATTTATGGGTTTTAGTGAGCCTTTCAAATACTTATTGGGAAAATACTTCTATGTGGGAATTTTTTCATCCTTGAAAGAATGGTGTTTGATTTATATTAAGTGAATTGTTCGACAGTAAACACCTACATAGAAATTATTGTGACTAAGAGAGATTACTAGTCAGTCTTCCCTTCCTCTCATGCTGCAGTTTTCCTTGATTTCTTGAGAATTCCTTCATGCCTCCAGCTTTTCTTTGGCATTCCTTCATTCTATCATCTCTCCAGTATTGCTTCCTTCTGGTTCTTCATTCCTTCATTCTATCATCTCTCCAGTATTGCTTCCTTCTGGTTCTTCATTCCTTCATTCTATCATCTCTCCAGTATTGCTTCCTTCTGGTTCTTCATTCCTCCAGCCTGCCTGCCTTCAACAATGCTTCCTTCTGGTTCTTCATTCCTCCAGCCTGCCTGCCTTCAACAATCCCTTGATGCTCTAGCTTTCCTTCCCGTAATCTTCGGTGTTTCATTCCTCGAGCTTTCCCAACATTCTCTCTTGTGATAAAATATTAATACTAATAACCATAATATATAATTAACATATAAACCCTTACAACACAATTCTCTGATCTTTTATTTGATACAAATAAACAGAAAAGCGGAAAAGCATCTTGAACTGCTGTCCGCAAGTTGACAGTCCGACAATCTACCGTCTCGGCTTTGAATTTGTGGACCGCAGTTCAAGCCCCTTGTCCGCCCTTGTGTATATTTACTGACATTTGTTTATTGCAAGTTAATTTGAGTTGATAGGTTATTTATTTATTCTATTTCAAGTTATATTTTTATATCAGTGAAACATTTTATTTTAACATTATTCTGTTTTTCTTCACATTAATTCATCATTTTCTGTTTTCCTTCACAAACTTTTTATTTAACTTTGTTCACTTACATGAACTTAATTTTGTTTAGATTTAGTGCTTGTCAATATATTTTTTAGTATTTTTAATGTCTTTAACCCTTAACCCTTAAACGGTCCATACGTATATATACGTTCACGAGCGTAGCGCCCCAAACGTATACAGTGGACCCCCGTTAACGATATTTTTTCACTCCAGAAGTATGTTCAGGTGCCAGTACTGACTGAATTTGTTCCCATAAGAAATATTGTGAAGTAGATTAGTCCATTTCAGACCCCCAAACATACACGTACAAACGCACTTACATAAATACACTTACATAATTGGTCACATTCGGAGGTAATCGTTAAGCGGGGGTCCACTGTATATACGTTTTCTTTGTCAGTCATTCAACATTGCCACAATAAGCCTGAGTCACCTAGACATGAGGAATGGGTGTGCGCACTCACTGTGCGCCATATTAAAATAATTGGGCATGCCTGGGTACCATATGCTCTTTTTTTCCTTTTAAAAGAAAAGATATTTTTTTTTCCTCAAAAAATTTTGGGCGCTACGACGAGTGAACGTATATATACGTTTGGACCGTTAAAGGGTTAAACTGTCCAACCAGATCTACATTCACATGCGTAATGCTACAAAAGTATAGCTACGTTTTTTTATATATTTTCAAATATAACCAAAAAAAAAAGTAGATCAAAGTTTTTTTTTACACTTTTCAAATGTAAAAAACAAAAGATCTATGTTTTTTTTACACCTTCAAATGTTAAAAAAATAGTTCGTTTGGACATTTTAAGGGTTAATCATTTTGTTGTATTTTAGCTTCATTTTCCAATTCTAAAAAAACACTGCATCATAAACACTTAAATTAGGCATTAAATTTTTTTTTTTTTTTGGGGTGTAATGTCTAAAAAAAAACCTTCGGGGGGGGATTTCCCTTTTGATGTGGAGGATGCTCTTGTTCAGAGGTTTTAAGCTTTTGCTTTTTTTTTCCTCAAACAAGCGGATAACACTATTCAGAAAAATAAAAAGGCACAATACCATGACTGGAAAAATACACAAAAAACGTACACTAGGTAGAGTTCCCATGATTTTTTGGTCTGACAACACTACTATGTATTCCACTTACTTTTTTGTTTTTTCTTTTTTTCTTTTTTCTTTTTTTTTTCCCCTTTTTTTTTTTTTTCTTTTTTTTTCCCTTTTTTCCTTTCCTTTCTTTTTTTTTTTTCTTTCTTTTCTTTTTTTTTTTTTTCTTTTTTTTTTCCTTTTTCTTTTTTTTTTTCTTTTTTTTTTTCTTTCTTTTTCTTTTTTTTTTTCTTTTTTTTCTTTCTTTTTTTTTTCTTTCCTTTTTTTTCTTTCTTTTTTTCTTTTTTTTCTTTTTTTTTCTTTTTTTTCTTTTTTTTCTTTCTTTTTTTTTTTTCTTTTTTTTTTTTCTTTCTTTCTTTTTTTTTTTTTTTTTTTTTTTTTTTTTTTTTCTTTTTTCCTTTTTTTTTCTTTTTCTTTTTTCTTTTTTTTCTTTTTTTTTTTTCCGCCATCATTACATCTACTACTACCATTTCCCATCTTTAAAATTACCACCCAACACATTTCTTTTTGTCCCACCTTCCCCTCCCTACATATATACGGGTCCCTCACGTTGTTTTTAGTGCGATTTGTCAGTGGTCCAAACGACTGAAACGTCATGAGTTTTTTCTCCTTTCTGATTGTGATAACCTCTCGGGTGCTGGAATCCTTGTGGTGAGGGGCTTCTCGTGATTAAAATAATTTATAATCAAAATTAAATTTTTAAACAAAAATTTTAGCTTTCATTACACGCGGTAGATTTAAATTTGGGGGAAATGTATAGCTTAGATAGTGTGTGGTGATAGATATAAGCTTTTCATAGTGTGAGGGGATAGATATAAGCTTAGCAGTAGTGGTAGGTGTAGATATATAGCTTAGCAGTGTGTGTAGGTGATAGAAAATAGCTTAGCGTAGTGGTAGGGTTTGATAAAAACTTTGCATATGTTAGGTGATAATATTTGCAAACAGAGGTGTAGGGGTGAAAAGGTATGAAAAAGTTTCATTGTTACTTACATTTTATCAAAGAGTCTTACTTATACCTAAAGTAATTGTATACAGTAAGACTTCAAAACCTTTGTTTTTATACATAAGACTTGACTTTACGTCTCCTCGTAAATGGTGGGTTAGGTTCCCCACGCCGCGAAGCAAATCACAGCTTTTTTTTTTCATTGCCTTTCATAAAAAAAACCTGAAAATTGTTCATACCATTTTTTAAGTTAAAAAAACACTAGGCCTAAAGAAAATGTAAAAGATTAAAAAAACAAAAAATTTGGGAAAACCAGTCTTTAGGGCAAAAGCAAGCATGAAAAAAAAAAAATGAATTTAAATGATGAATTTTGGGAAAAAGGGAAGGGTGGAGGGAGTGTAGATTCTTCTGGAAACAATGTGTGGTGTGAAATTTAAAGCAGAGAATTTGTAGTTTGGGAAAAAGGTTGGTGGGGGGAAAACCAAAATATTACCAGAGGGGTGGGAGGCTTTGTTAGGTGACTCGGACAGTAAAGAGGAGGGGAAAAAATAGAAGACTTCAAGAGTGTATAAGCTGTAGGGGGGGAAGGTGGGGGAGAATTGGCCCATGAAACGGTTTTGGGGGTAGGGGGAAAGGGGTTTTGTGTGCGGGGGCTTGGAATAGCAAGATGCTGAGCGTGTTAGATAGGAGCAAAATTTTAAAAAATGTTGTTTTTGGACTTATGTGTTGGGGGTGAACAGGAACATTTATGGAGGGATTT